TTCCGATTAAACCGGGAGCGCACAACTTGAGCGACCGCACGCCGTTCAAGTGTTCCTCAGCATGAAAATCAATATTGGTGATGTCTTTGAAGAGAAGACAAACACGATAAGTATGTAAAGCAGCATCATTAACGAGCAAATGGTAGAATGAAAACACATTCAGAGGCGAACAATTGATTCATCTTCTAGCCTGTACAGATCAAATAAGGAAATGGCATGTTGAACAGAGACAGTCATTCAAAACTCGGTGGCTAGGGTGTGGAGACGCAGCGGCTTGGATGAATGAGGTGCTACTCGATAGATGACTTTGTAGGCTGATTCAAGCTTCACTTGGTGACCCGAGTCTGCTAGGTGAGCGAGAATAACGCTTCCTGTGACACCTTTTCCACCGTGTTGAAGCCAGTATGGACAGTTCTCTTTAATCTGCTGATACAGTTGCCTCATCGATCGGCCAATATAGGTTGCGCTACAAACGCAGCTGGAGGTTTGTACCACTTATACAAAAGAAAAACCTTAATCATTGCCTTGTTTCGTGTGCACAAAAGATATACTCCGAATCCACGTTCGCAGATGAACTTGATCAGATTACAAACATTCTAAGGGGAAACGGATACCTCGAAAGGTTCATAGAAAGAAACCTAGAAAAAAAATGAAACACGAGTCCGTTCAGGAAGCTCCAAAGAAGAAGCTGTTTATTAAACTGCCATTCAAAGGAGATGACCTGTTTGATCTGATTAGGAGACATTTAGCGCGTGCTGTAAGAGGAACCTTCAATGCAACCAGATTGTCATGCGTATTCATAGGCTCACCAATAATAAGAACATTCAATAAAGACAGTTTACCTTTGCTGGCCTCATCTATGGTTATAAATTCCTTCAGCTGCGTTTGTAACGCAGACTCGGGTCACCAAGTGAAGCCTGAATCAGCCTACAAAGTCATCTATCGAGTAGCACCTCATCCATTCAAATCGGTACGTCTCCACACCCTGGCCACGCGGAAGCGATTGGTATTATTCAAACACAATCTATTTACA